GGACGGCCTCATTCAATTCTGTTCCCCTACAACTTGCCTAGAGCCAGCACCTTAGCCTTCAAATTAATTAACAAAGTGGCCACCAGAGGGCAGCCTCACACCCAGAATACAGCCAACCCAAACTGAAGTTCTTAAGTGGCCTGGCATCTGGGTGATGGAGCAGCAGCCTGACAGCTCCAGCAAAGAGGTTGGGTGTTTGGGATTGTTTGGCATTGCGGTGGGCTCTCCAGGCTTCGGGGTTTGATTATATGTGCTCTTAGTTTGCCTCCCCTTCCCCTGTCTCCTGGACCCAATTCCAAAGTGTGTGCTGCTCAGAAGGGGGTTCCCCCATAGCAACAAGCAATTCTCAGACACAAGCAGGTAGTAGAATTCAACTCAATTCTGACACTACCCAGAGGTAGTGTCAAATCCCATTTAGGGGTCAGTCTTACTAGACTGTTGTCGTCCGTCCGTCATCGTCCCACCCCCCCCTTCAGATGCCAGTCACAAGTCCAGGTTGTTACCTGTGCTTCTGACGGACAAGGCCCAAAAGTCACTTCATTAACATAACAAAACACCTTTATCACTCTCATCACTTACAAAATTCCAAGGGTTTTAGGAGCTGTGCCAGAAATGCATGAAGACCAAATATATATGTCTCATTATAAATCACAGTATCACACCTTCCTCCTGGCCCATAGTGTAGGCACATGGGAAAATTACACCAAATGACCTGCATACAAAACCTCTCAGCTTCTCTTTCCTCCTCTGAAAAAAAGGGTAACCCCACTGCCTACTTGATAGGATTATTGTGAGACTTCAAAGGCATGTAAGGCATAGAGACTGACAAACTAAGTGCTTGGTATAAGTTTGTCGAATGGGTGGATGCCCCGGAATTGCAACATCTATGACCAAGTGAAGTCATCATGCAGGCAGTGTCCACACTCAGTAATGATGCCCGCCCGGTTCAGCCTCCCTGCTCACACTTCCCCGCATTCAGAGCAATGGTGATGAGAACAGAGGGATTTTGGGGGCTGAGCTGATTGGGAATCTGACCTATTTGACTCCTCAGTCTCAGAATCTTAGGGACTGAAGTGAGGGACTTAGAAGATTATCCTTTTCCAGTCCCACCCTATACTGGGACACCCTCTACAAAACTCCTCTTTGGTTTATAATTTTTTTTTTTAATTTACTTATTTTTTACTTATTTACTTTTGGCTGTGTTGGGTCTTGGTTGCTGTGCGCGGGCTTTCTCTAGTTGTGGCGAGCGGGGGCTACTCTTCGTTGCGGTGCGCAGGCTTATCATTGCGGTGGCTTCTCTTGTTGTGGAGCACAGGCTCCAGGCACGCGGACTTCAGTAGTTGCGGCACATGGGCTCAGTAGTTGTGGCTCGCAGGCTCAGTAGTTGCAGCACACGGGCCCTAGAGCACAGGCTCAGTAGTTGCGGCACACGGGCTCAGCAGTTGTGGCTCGTGGGCTCTAGAGCGTAGTCTCAGTAGCTGTGGCGCACGGGCTTTGTTGCTCTGCGGCATGTGGGATCTTCCCGGACCAGGGCTTAAACCCATGTCCCTTGCATTGGCAGGCGGATTCTTAACCGCTGCGCCACCAGGGAAGTCCGGTTTAGAAGTATTGAGAAGCAAATGAGGAATGAATTTGTTAAAACATTGAGATGTTGCATGTTAATCCTTAGAGGCCTCACTGACACATCCACCCACTCACTCATTTCCTACTTCACGAGAAACTTTCACCATGGTGGAAAGTGCCAATAGCCTCCAAGAAAAATAGGTAAAATGTGCACTTTGGGGGGCAGTCAGGGTCACCCCAGCCTTAGACAAATGGTGTAGAAAGGAGATCCTAGGAAGGCGAGATGAAGGGACCAAACAGACCCTGAGTCCTCAGGAAGCAATTTCAGGCCAACTCCAAGGTAAGATACTGAACAAAATCGTTTCAATGCCTAGGTGAGATAATGGGGTGTTAAAGAGATGACGGGGGCGGGGTGCATTCACAAGGCTGAGTGGACCTAAAAGTATGGTGAGTCATGAGCAGCATGGTCTAGAAAGATGGAAGACAAGGAGAGAGAGGATCAGCATTCTGTTTCTGAATTGGGGTCTGGCTGACCTGGTCTCACTCCCATCAGCTGCGGAATGGAGTTGTGAGACTAACAACAAACAAACTGAACTCTCAGGTTTGAAATTCCCCAAACCCTAGCGTGTCAGGATGGCCCTGATGCTGAGCCTGGCTTGAGGGCTGGTGTGTATTGGTGAGGGTTGGAGGGACAATGCCAGCAGAAGCCTTGAAATGAGAGCTGAAATAAACTGGTTCTAGGCAGGACTCAGCACTTTTCTCTGTGGGTCTTAAAGTTGTACTTTGTCACTCAGGTGAGAGAAAACAAAATCAAAACTAGAAATATTATGGAGGGGACTTCTGACTATCGGGGTCCCTTCCATCCCCAAGACTCTGTAAAATGTTCAGCAGCAAAAGAATATTGATACAAAATTGATTTGCAAACAGAATGTGTGAGTTTAATTTTTAACTGAAATTAATTCACATATCATAAAATTCACCCTTTTAAAGTATGTAATTCAGTGCATTTTGGTATATTCACAAAGTTGTACAACCATCAACACTAACTCCAGAACATTTCAAAACCTCCCCAAAAGAAATCCGATAGCCATTAGCAGCTATTCCCCATTCCCTCCTCCCCCAGCCCCTGGCAACCACTAGATACTTTCTGTCTCTATGGACTTGCTTATTCTGGATATTTCATATAAATGGAATCATACAATATGTGGCCTTGTACATCTGGTTTCTTTCACTTAGCATAATGCTTTCAAGGTTCACCCACGTTGTAGCATGTGTCAGTACTTCTTTCCTTTTTAAGGCTGAACAGTATAAGAAATATTCCATAGAAACATTTTGTTTTATCCACTCATTAGTTGATGGACATTAGAGCTGTTTGAGCTTTTTTATTTTATTTTTTATTTTTTTATTAATTTATTTATTTATGGCTGTGTTGGGTCTTCGTTTCTGTGCGAGGGCTTTCTCTAGTTGCGGCAAGCTGGGGCCACTCTTCATCGCAGTGCACAGGCCTCTCACTATTGCGGCCTCTCTTGTTGCAGAGCACAGGCTCCAGACGCGCAGGTTAGTAGTTGTGGCGCACGGGCTTAGTTGCTCCACGGCATGTGGGATCTTCCCAGACCAGGGCTCGAACCCGTGTCCCCTGCATCGGCAGGCAGACTCTCAACCACAGCGCTACCAGGGAAGCCCCTGTTTGAGCTTATTTTAAGCGAATGGTTATATAAATGCATTTTCTGTCTACCCCTTCCCTCAAATTAAGGACAATCAGTAGCAAAATGAAGCAATGCAAGCAAGCAAACCAGTCAGCAACTGGTACTTAGAAAAAGAAAAGCAGCCTTGATTTTTAGGGTACATCACTGAAGAATGGGGCCAAGATTATGGGGTCTAGCTTAAAACTCCTAATGCCTTCCAATCCCATGTCTGAGATGAGTCTACCCACTAAGACATCAGTTAATCCACCGGGAAGTCCTTGGATCAGAAAGAAGAACTGAGAGCCATGGTCTGGATCAGTGTTTCTTAATCTGTCTTTCAGAGACTCCTAAGGTTTCATGGAAGTAACACAGGGCCACCAAGGGGGCTGGAGTGCAGGTGGACAGGGCTCTGAGCCCAGCCCCCATCCCTGCTTTAACTAGAGCAGCTCTCATTTTAATTGCTTTATTTGTTGAGGTTCCCTCTAAGTGTTCATCTGGAACAAATAAAGGGGGTCTGTGGCTAAAAAACTGTTTGGCAACCACTGGTAGGTGGTTTTGGCATCCTGGGACTAGAGTTGGCACTCCCTGGCAGCCGTTCTTACGAGTTCTTCTGAGGAACCTTGATGGTGACTGTCTTCACCCCTGTGTAGGTCTTAAGCCCATCCTCCCCCAGCTCCCTCCCATTGCCAGATTCCTTAAAGCCTCCAAATGGCGTGTGGCAGGTGACAATGCTGTAGGTGTTTACCCACACCGTCCCAGCTTGGAGTGCCTGTGTGAAGTACATGGCTTTGTCCAGGTCCTGGGTGAACACAGCAGCGGCCAAGCCATACCTGGTGTTGTTGGCCCTCTCAATCACCTCCTCCACCTTCCTGAACTTGAACAGAGGCTGCACAGGCCCGAAGATCTCCTCCTTGGCAATCCTCACGTCATCCTGCACACCACCAAAGACCGTGGGCTTGATGAAGACGCCTCACTCTCCAACACGCTCCCCACCACACAGAAGTTTTGCCCCCTCCTTCTGGCCAAGCTGGATGTAGCCCAGGATTCGTTCAAACTGTTCCTTGTCCACCTGGGGCCCCTGCTGGGTGTCCAGCTCAAAGGGGTTCCCAACTTTCCTCTGCTTAGCTTTTTCCACAGTTCTCTCGAGAAACTCATCATAGATGGATTCTTCAACGAAGGTCCGGGAACCGGCACAGCAGCACTGACCCATGTTGAAGAACAGGGCTTCATGGCACTGCTCCACGGCGTGGTCCATGTCGGCATCGGCCAACACAATGCTCGGGCTCTTCCCACCCAGCTCCAGGGTGACTCTCTTGAGGTTGGAATCGCCGGCCACCTTCTGGATCAGGTGGCCCACCTCGGTGGAGCCAGTGAAGGCAACTTTGTCAATATCCATGTGATGGGCAATGGCCGCTCCTGCTGTTGGGCCATAGCCTGTGATGATGTTTACCACCCCAGGGGGAAAGCCCACCTCTTTGACGAGGGAGGCCAAGTGCAGGGCAGAAAGGGGCGTCTGCTCTGCCACCTTCATGACCACAGTGTTGCCCGTGGCAAGTGCCGGGGCCAGCTTCCAGCCCTGCATGACCAAGGGGAAATTCCACGGGATTATCTGGCCACAGACGCCAATAGGCTCGTGCCGGGTGAAGCAGAAATGCTCGCCATCCATGGGGATGGTCTTGCCATGCCACTTGTCAGCCCAGCCAGCAAAGTACTGGTATACCTTAATGACCTCATCCAGGTCCAAGACATAAGAATCCGGGAAAGGCTTCCCATTGAAAAAAAAAAAAAAGCGTGGGTCAAAGTATTAAATAAATACATTTGATGTGGTTAAAAAGAGGGGTTGGGGGGGGTAATCTCGGTTTGGGGAAGATCTGGGCAACCTTCAGTCCGGTGTTGATGTCCCACCACCCTCAGAACAAAGAGAGGCTCAGCAGCCGGCCCCGCTCTGAGGCATCCATCCGGCGCCATGGAGACCCCAGTTGGAAGGCCTCCCGGGCTGCTTCCACTGCCCAATCCACGTCAGGCCGGTCCCCTTCAGCCACGTGGCAGATGACCTCCCCCGTGCCAGGGCTGACTGTTGGGAAGGTCTTCTTGCTGACCGCATCTTGCCACTCATTGTTGATGAACAGCTGGTTGTAGCGGATGTCTGGGTTCAGGATGGGGCTGGGGAGGGCTGCTGCTGAGGAGTACGGGGTGGCCAGCCGGCGCAGGCGAAAGAGCCGGGGCACCAGGAAGCGCAGCATGCTGAGCACTCTGGAGAGGGACAGGAGCCAGGGTGAACATGGAGAGGGGAGCAGGGGTCCCCCAAAGGCCCATCAGCTCAGATGTTCCAAGATTCTAGCATAAAGGGGTGTCACCTCTGAAAACATGGATCATAAGGGCTACAGAAGCCCTGAAGAACTCTCTGGTTCAATTCTGTCATGTCCGATCTAGCCTCTTGCTCACTCCTTCACCTCTTCTGGGTCTTCGCTCAAAAGTCACCTTCTTAGTAAGGCCTTCCCTGAGCATCCTTTATAAAACTGCAACTTTCCTCAGCCCCAGGACTCTCTCTCCCCCATACTGTGCTCTATCTTCCCCCATCTGACATACCAAATAGTATATGTACATGCTTATATGTTTATTGTCTGCCTCTCTCCAACAAAATGGGCTCCACGAGGGCAGGGATTTTTTTTCCTGTTTCATTCATTGCTATGTCCCTGGCTACAGAGTAGCTGCTCAGTGGGTAGTTATTAAATGACAGACAGAGGAAACATCAAAGTATCCACAAAGGCTGTTTACTAAGGCTGTTTAACTGACCTACGGGTAGAGTAAAAACCCAAGGGACTCAGAGACAGAGTTGTTGAATGCTGAATGGGGTCGTGCATATGAAAAGCCTGGCACGCCCACCCAGGTCTTCGGAGCTGGCGGCACCCTCAGAAACCAGCCCAGCCCAGTCCCCCTGGGGGACCGGCTTCAGCTTTCCCAGGAGTGCAGTGAGTCTGGCAGCTGGAAAGAAGGCTCTGTTTACTCTTGCCTACAACTCTGAAAACAGTGTAGACTTTATTAAAACAACTATAACATTTAAACAGTCTATATAATTTATTCAATGTAATTTAAATGGTATATACATTTCCTAGATTCATTAAAGCAGTTACTCTCCAGCTAGGACATCAATTCCTCCACTCCTGCTGTCTCTCTTGAGCCTTACCCCACCAACCCCCAAAAGGAATTGCACCTGCCCTACCCCAGCACACACACACCCTCTGCCACTGGGGAGGGAAAGGAGCAGAGAACTCATCCAGGAAAACAAGACCCCAGCCAGGTCCCTGGCCCCACGCAAATCAGTGCTGCCCAGGAAGCCATCCCTTGGGAAAAAGCTGAGCCAGCAGAACTGTCAGGGGTGCACACAGGTCCACTCTGCTCAGGACTCTGCCCCATGCTGGGACAGAAGCAGCCTTGGGTCCAACAGGCCTGGGTCTGACGAAGGAGGGGTCCCAGGGGAGGTCAGGATAAGTGGGATGCGGGGTCACTAATCCATGGGGTGGTGGTGCAAGGGTTCAACAGGCAGGAGGGGTGGTCACAAACCAAGGCTGGCAAGCCTGCTTTCATGCCCAGCCAAGGCTGTTTCTACTCTAGAGGCCTACGTGGGGTGTGCATTGGGCCTCCACCTGCATATGGGAAGAGGACTGCTCAAAGCACACCATGCTTTGCAGTTTCTAGGCCACCTTCTCAGTAGTTAACTCACCGAGGCTTCCAGCAGCCCTGATGACCCTCATTGTGGAAGAAAGCTGGGGATCAGAGAGGTTCTGGGACTCACTGGGGACACACAGCAATTAAGAATAGGAGCCTCAGGCTGGATTCCCACAGCCCTAGCTTTGTGTTTCTTCCGTACTACGGACAATTTCTTACAGTTCCCACTATTAGCGCCCAATGTGCCAAGGACCGGACCTTCTGGGTCATCGAGGACCGGGTGGCTCCCACCTCACCCTTTCTGCGGGGAGGGAGTGCGTGTCCTGGCCTCTCGGCTACCAGTCAGGGGCCCAGTAGGCCCGGTGGGCGGGAGCGATGAGGCCGAGCTAACCGGGAAGGTTTCGAGGGTGTGAGTCCACGGGGCGATATGGCGCCACCCCGGGACCCGGGTACATAAGGAGGGGTGGGAGGCGTGAATGGGTTCCTACAGTGCACGCCTCTGGGGCAGAAAGGCCGGCCCCCACGTGGGGAAGCCAAGACCCAGAGAGGAAGCCTCCACTGTAGGAAGGGGAGCTGCGGCCTGCCCGGGGGGCCGAGTGGGAAGGGCTCCAGTTACCTGCAGCAGGCTGGCGCTCGCGCTCGGGGGCAGGTTCGGATTCTCACAGGTCTAGCTGGGCGCTTGCCGCAGGCCCCGCCTCCGCGCAGTGGCGGGGCTCAGCCACCAATGAGGCTCCGCCTGCGCGCCGCCGACTTCCAGCCCCGCTGCTAAGGCAGCTCCTCCCTCCGGGCGCAGGCGTGTTGGGGCTGCTGGGACTGGGGTGATGGGGCTGGGTGCGGGGAGCGCCCCACCTTTCCCACGTCCCAGCGCCCCCTACCCAGGGGGTATCCCGCAACACGCCAGCGCTCTCCTCTCGCATCGCCGCTCAGAGCTGGAGTCCTAAGGCCCGAATGGGTAGGAGGTCACAGGTCACACATCAATCGAAGACTGACCCCAATTCTATTTTTCCTTTCTCTCTCGCAACACATGCGCCTTGTTAGGTTACCATCATTTGAACTTCTCCTTAACCCCTTCTGGGTCTCCCCTCTCTCTCAGTTTTTTCCTTGACTGTCTTCCACTCTCTCTGCTCTTTTTCCCAGTTGATTTTATATTTGTGTTTTTAAAAGCTGCATTTTTTTTAAAGGACATAAAGAGTATATGTGCAATGTAGAAAGCTTGGAAAACACAGAAAAGGATACAAGAAGAAAACATATTACTTTCAATCCTTTCACCCCAAAGTTGCCATTCATCTTGCTGGTATTTTTTCCTCTGCATTTTTCAAAAATTCTTTTAATAAAAATGAAATCGTATGGAGATCTCTATTTTGCTAACTTTTTTTTTTTTAAACAGCAATTTATTATGAACCTTTTCTCATGTCACTAAAATTAAAAGACAACATCATCCTCTCCGGGGTGGTGTAAAATTCCATGGTAGGGTGGCTTGTTGATGGACATTTAGATTGTCTCCACCTTGTTGTTGCCATAAAGGAAGCTAAATCCAGAACCTGCATCTCTCAGTCACTTCACTTACACTGCACCCTCCTTCTGGTTGGAGACGTTGGGAAGCTACAAGCTGTTTCCCAGCCTTGTTTGCAGCTAGAGTTCTGGATGTGAACTCAGTGGTGCCGATTAGCAGTACCCCTGTCACATGTGGAAGGTGGGGGGTATTGTCCTGTCCCCTTGGGTCATCACTAGCATGATGGCAGAAACATGAGGATTTTCTGCATCCTTCTCCAGCTTCCTGGGTGTGGGGTGGCCACTGCAACTGCAGCTCCTTGACTCCAGCTACCTGTTCCCTTGCTCTTTGAATCATGGCAGCAGGGGTGTGTCTTCAGCTAAATAGCTCCAGAGGTGGCCTCAGATAGTAACAATGCTGGTGGGCCACATCTATCTCGTTCTGGGCATCAGTCCTGAAGGTCGAGTCCTCCCTGATTCTCCCTCCCTCTGGCACTTCCAGCAATTCTGTCAGCACCCAATGTCTGTATTAACTCTTTACCTCTCCACATATTTAGAGTATTGACATTTTCCTGTTGAACCTGACTAATTCACATGATTCTTTTCTTAAGCTACATCTCTATGCAATCTTTTGTTACCATGTCATCCTTAGGATGTTCACAGTCCTTGAGGCAAAATTTAGTTCTTCACTAAAAGCACTACATCTTGTGTCTTGCCACATCTATGTTCATGTTTTCCCAGCAACCATGTGGCCCCTTGCAAAACCCCTTCTGCCTCCCACACAGCACATGGCCAGCCTAGCACCCCTTGGGCACTTGGCATGGCACTCCTTGGTAGATTAACTTAAGGATTATTTGGTCAACTATTAACAGGCCTCATTGATAGAGGCAGTGAGTCTATGACAAAGCAAGTATCAGTCTTCATATGGTCAGACCACTTGGAAAGCTGTGGCAGGTGTGAGAGGCCAGCAGCAAACAAGAAGTGACCCCTTGGGAGAGGCTGCGTCCTGTGAGGAGCAGCTGAAGGAACTGGGCGTATCCACCCCTCAGAGCTCAAGGGACAGGATTTCACCCTCCAAATCTCCAAAGGGTAAAAACAGACGTAGTCTGTGGGGCCCTAGAAGACTGAGCCAGACCTATGAGGGGGAGTTAACGGGGTCAGAGGAAGAACTTCATGACAAAACAGAGCTGGCTAAGGATGGGTGGGAGGGGCTGCCTTGAAAGGCAGTGAGCCCCCCATCACTGGGGGAGTACAAGGAGGGATATAAAACCACTTGGCAAAATCCTATAGAGGAGAATACCAGATAAGAACTGAACTAGACCAGTGGTTCCCAAATGTAGCTGTGCATCAGGATTGCCTGGGGAGCATTAAAAAAAAAAAGCAAAGCTTTATAATCTCCCTGGGCTTACCTTCAGAGATTCTAAATTATTAGATGTTGGTTGTGATCCAGGAATTTTTGAAGTTCCCCATATGCTTCTGATGCACAACTATATTTGGGAAGCAGCAGCCTAAGTGGTCTTTGAGATTCTATGACTCCATCATGGGTGGTTTTCAGAAAGGGACTTATCAAGTGAATGCTTTGTCTGTATCTAGAGTCCATCCAGAAGACCCACCCTTGACACTTCATAAGCTGTGGCTGGCACCAGAAGGTAGTCCTGTTGCAAGGCATTTGTAAAAGCATCCAAAAATTTTTAAACTTAAAACCTTCCACAGTGCTTGACATTTATGGTTTAGAGAGACGGATGAATGTGCAATGGCTCAGGGTAAAATGCACAGATTATTTCTGCAGAAGGAATGTTTTAGATTCAGCTTTTTAATTGGCAAAAAATGATCCAGGCCTCTAGAATGCAAGTTGGGCCTGGAGCCACTGTGAGTGTTTGGACTGAAAGGATTGAAGGGGAATGATGAGATAACACAAGCCATAGTCAGGTCACTGTCAGCAAAGAATGTCACCCAGGGATGTGTTTACACTGGCCTGGTGGGGAAAGAGAAGCTATATCTATCTTTCAGGGTTTTGAAGCCTTGGATGTCTAGGAAGTTGCTGGAGAAGATTCCAGGCTCTGAGATAATGAATGGATCAGAC